AAAAAAAAAAAAAAGCTAACAAACTAGATAAACCTATAACTAAGAAGCAACCACCATAATCAAGAAGCACAGTTGCAGAGCTAAGCCAAGAACAGACAGGAGGTAGAGGAAAACACCAGCTCCTTAAGATCTGCAGCCATGATATTACAACAAGGTGCAAATTGACCAGAAGGACTGTTGAGCTTTGAGGCTAGCCTTTGGTTATTGATTTTGCATTTCCTTACCTACCATCCACATTGAATAGCCTTCATCACTGCCCATCTCAAAGCTGTAAGATCATTTCCTTCACTGCAGCCATTTTACAATACCATCTCTGTCCAATATTGCGGTTCCTCTCCCACTTGTTCAGCTAAACACTCCATTTTCATTTGATCCTGATAAGAGATTGTGGCACTGATACTGAGAAAACAGTGCCCTACCTCCCTGGAAAAGTCCCTTTCCTGGTCACATGAATTCTGAATGCTTTGCTGCAAAGTGTTGGGACTCATGGTCCTAGACTGAATACCTGCAAATTCTATCCATTCATCTCTGGCGCCCTCAGCAATAAGTCTCTCACTTATCCTTTTGTTTTGAAAGATCCAAACATTTATTGTCTTCCAAAGCCACCATAGAATATATGATGAAAGGCTGGCTCTGTCAATAATGCTTTCCTCTTGTTTGGCACTGCAAATGCTTCCCCACCAATCTCTAAATGAAAGATTGTGCACACTGAAAGAGTCCCATGTCACCCCACACAGCTTCCACACTAGTTTAGCTCTGGCACAGTGAAACATGATGTGTTCTAAATCTTCAGCACCCATTCCACAGAGAGATCATGTGGCATCTTCAGTCAATCTTCTCACCAAAAGTTGCTCATTAGTGTGCATAAATCTGACATTTCCAAAGAAAATGTTTGATTTTGGTTTTAATAGGGAGTTTCCATGTAACTTTCCAGACCTGACTCACAATGTTGGATCCCTTGCTAGAACTAGCTATCCCCTTGTCCTACCAAAACCTATTCACAAAAGCTTCATAGGCAGACTTTACACTAAATTTCCCAAATTTGCCAAACCACCAAATGAGCTTATCATGGCTACCTATCAAGGATACGAGAATTTTGAGCACAAGTTCAGCATCATTAGGCAAAAAGGCAAGCCTAACAAGGTCTCTATCCCAGGTTCCCCTCTCAACTAAAAGCAAATCACTCACCCTGACAAGATTATTTCTATCCCCCTGAAAAGCACAAGTTGGGATGGGATTAGTCTCTCTAGGAAGCCAAGGATGTTCCCAGATAGAGATATTCTGCCCAGTGCCCACTTGAAATCTAGTCCCCATCTTCAGATATCTCTACACACTCACCCAACTCTTCCAAAGTCATGAATCCCCATTTTTAGGCTTAACCTAAAAAAGACTAGTTCTATAAAAATATTTCCCTTTGAGAACTCTACTGATCAAAAGATTAGGTTGAGTCAGGACTCTTCATAATTGTTTAACCAGTAGAGCCACATTAAATACTTTCAGATAACTAAAACCCAACCCACCCCAACCCTTAGGTTTAGCCATAATATCCCAACTGGCCCAATGAGTCTTACTGCCTTCTGATCCTTGGAACCCTACCAAAATCTAGCAATCACCCTACTAATATCATGGCAAATACTCAAAGGTAAAAGAAAACATGACATCACATAAGTAGAAAGGACTTCAAGAACAGATTTAATTAAAACCTCTCTACCAGCAGTACTCAACAGATTATTTTTCCAACAATTCAGTTTGTTATTCACACACTCAAGCACATATTTGAAAGTGTCTCTCTTGGATCTACCAATACCAAGAGGAATTCCCAGGTATTTGGTAGTTCTAACACTCAGGATGCCATTCAACACATTGCAAATTCTCACTTTGGAACAATGAGGTGTATTCAGAGAAAATAAAACAATAGACTTAGACATGTTCACACATTGACCTGAGGCAGCACCATAACAACTAAGAATATGCATAATGAGATAAGCATGATGGGTATCTGCCTTGCAAAAAATTATGGTGTCATCTGCAAATAAAAGGTGTGAAGTGGGAGGGAAAAACCTGCTGATTTTAAGGCTAGAATACAAGGACATAGAACAAGCTTGAGATATCAGGTTGGACAAAGCTTCTGACAGAATAATGAACAAGTAAGAAGAGATGGGGTCTCCTTGTCTAATTCCTCTGGTTGGTTTCACATACCCCAATGGCTGCCCACTAATATTAAAAGAATAATAAACAATATTCAAGCAGGCAAAAATCCAGGACACAAACCTATCAGAGAAACCCATCTTTCTACAAACTCTAAGCAAAAACTGCCATTCAATCCTATCATAGGCTTTTGCCATGTCAAGCTTGATAGCCATAACACATTTAGAGCCTTGTCTCTTGCTATTAATATAGTGCATGCACTGATTGCCCAAAACAGCATCATCAAACTTTTGTGTCCCAGGTACAAAAGCTGCTTGGGATTCATTGATGCAAGGGCTCAGAATTGGTTTCAGTCTATTAGCAATAATTTTGGATATGATTTTATAAATGACAGTGCATAGAGCTATAGGTCTATATTCAGACACCAGCAAGGAATTGAGTTTTTTGGGTATCAAGGTGATGACAGTATGGTTAAGACCTTTTGGCATTTGAGCAGAGTCAAAGAAATTAGAAATAGCTTGGCACAGGTGTTCTTTAACAATGTTCCAACAAGATTGGAAAAAAAGAGCAGTCATGCCATCTATACCAAGAGCTTTGGTGGATTTCATATTTAACAGAGCAACATGAATCTCCTCCTCAGTAACAGAGCTAATCATTATGTGGTTCATCTCCTCAGTAATAGTCACAGGAATGCCATTCAAACTACAAGCTTCAATATCAGGCTGAAAGGTACAGAATAAATCTTGAAAGTAATCCTCTACTTCCCTAACGGTTTCCCGTAGAGTAGATCATCTCCTGCCACTAGAATTCATCGGGTTATCAAGGCTCCCAATTTTTCTCCTCTGTTGAACAGACGCATGG